GTTTAGTAGAGAGGGGTAGATATTTAGTAGGATTTAGAAGCTGGTCGGTGCTTCCTAGGTGACTTCTGGGCAGTAGTCTCTGTACAGCAGAGTCAGGAAAGCAGTGCGAGGGTTTTGCTGCAGAGGAAAATCACCAGCTCAGCACAGCACGAACGAAATCACCTCCTTGCCTTGTCATCCTTCACATTTGCATTCAAGTGCCTGTCCAAGTCATGTCGAAGCCTGCAGAAGCTTTGGTATAGTCTCACTGGTTTTGATGGGAAGTCATAGCACAGATTACTATAAAACAGCCATAACGAATGCATCAACCATCAGCTGCAGTCATTCCTCCAGTGAAACTGCAAGATCAAAGTGAAAATGAAGGAGGGGCCTTTTTTTTGAAGTTCACCTGTTGTCTCTAAGCATCGGGCCCATGTGCCTCCTGCTCTCTGTGTGAGGAGTGTGGAAGTTGGAGTTCCTGCAGGTTCCATCCTGGGCTGTAGCTTGTCCCTGCACATGTGTCTTATGGACTAATGTCTTCTTCAGTGAACCCCTTTTTTTCCCTTTTCTTCAGCTCCTGTTTTCAGTCCTGGCCCATTCCCTGCAGCTAGAGAAAAGCAGCACCCACTGTTTGGTTTTATTGCCCAACTGCTAAAGGGGAGATAGCCCTGCTAGACACATTCAGGTGTCCTGTGACTACTGGCAGTCCCCAGCCTTCCTCTGAGCACGGCTGGAGTCAGTGAAATTGTGAATATCACTGGCTGTTTAACTCCATGTCCTCACACCTAGAAGATGAGGTGATATCCCACACCCTGCCTACCTGCAGCGATGGGAACGTTGCCCTGTGGCAGGAAGCTCTGTTCCTGCACTGTTGACGTGGGGGCTGAGGTGGGGAATTCTGGGGGGCTGTAGATCTGGGGTGTCAGCAGAGGTGCTGTGTTCCTGGAGCCCAGCTCAGCTGACCCCTGAGCCAGGCTGGTTAGCAAGGCTTTGTGGAGGGTGCACGCTGCCCGTGGGCGTTGCTGCAGTGGAAAAAAGAACCATTTTAAGCTGGGAAAATTACTTTGAGCATGGAAGTAAAAAAAGATGTAAACCTGCAGAAAAAAGAGCTTTTAGAACTCATTCTTCCTTTGCCTTGCTCTCACAGTCCCACACTGGGATCCAGCGGCGGCCATCCCTCGCTCTGGCCTTTCAGAAAGTTAAATACCTCTTTGCTAATTTCTTCTTCTCCTACTTGGATGAGAAAAATTACTCTCCTCAAGCAGGGAAGGGGCCAGATGTCTGCTCGTGATCCTGACCAGCCCTGGTTTGTGTGTATTTCAGCGTACAAATTCCAGATTATTTACTAAACTCCCGTTTTATTTACTAAACTCTAAACAAAGTCAGCCCTTGATTTATCAGGCTCGCAGAGCTGGGGTTTGCCAGCTGCTCTGTGCTCGTAGCATTGTCGTGGGGGCTTCCGCAGAAAGGAAATTTCCTCCCCAGTGTTGCTCCAAGATAAGTTGGATTCTCTGTTATCGAGGCTGCTGTTGGAGCAGCTTCCGTTTCCCTGCGGTGCCTGTTCTGCCTGTTGAGCATTTCTCTTTACCCTTGGGAAACAAATGTTTTCACAAGCTGTAGGACACTTGGGGCTCCACCCATATCCTCTATTTGAATTAATCTTCAAAATCTGAAGCTGTGTTTTTGAGGGTATGGAGGACATGTCTCGGGATGCTCATATGATGTTGATGATGAGTGCTTTGGGGCTGTGGCTGATGCTGGACCCCGGGTGACACCGTGTCACTCCTGGGTGCACCAGGCCCTCAGTGGGGAGGTGTTCACCAGCACTGCCTGTTAAATACACTGCACGGCTGTGTTCTGTGCTGGGCCCAGTTGTCAGAGCTGTAGGTACCACTCTTCTGTGCGTGTTTCCTTCTGTGAACCGCATAACCCAAGTTTGTTGGGTTTAACTCTGTGCGTGTTTTGACCTGACGCCTCAGAGCAGAGAAATACAGTTTATCAGTTGGGAAGGGTGGGTAAAAGCATTGCAAAAACCTGCAGTCGTTGTGAAACACGGTGTGGAAATCACCAGGAGAGGTTTTGACACGACCGCCGCCAGTGCCGCGGCTCTCCCGGCGGGCGTGTGGTGCTCTCCCAGGCCGTGGGTGCCCGCTCCTGCCAGGCTCCAGCACTGCTCCCCAGGGCGGGCAGCCCAGCAGCAGGCCGAGAGAGCTGCTCTGTGTCACGGGTGGCCTTGCTCTGGGAGAAGCTGGGAGGGAGCAGGTGGGGGCCTGGCTCTTGTGCCAGGCCGCAGGGTTCTCCCACAGGGCTGGGGTCTCGCTGCTTTTGGCCCTTCTTGCCTTTAACCAGAGGAGAAATGGGAAGGAATCAAAAAGCCATTAACGGCTGCAGCAGTGAGGTTGCTCAGACACGTGTGGAGCCAACGGTGGGCTCAGCATGTGGAGTTAGCACTGAAACCCTCGCGGCTGTGGTCTGGGTAGAGGTTTTCACACTGTTTTTATCTGAGCAGGGCTGAGGACGGGACCGCAGAGGATGGGTGGGGGTGAGGTGAGAGGAGCGAAGACGAGAGCGAGCGTGGGATGTGTGTGAGGGTGAAGAGCCAGGAAAGACAACCAAGCCCTTCAGCCTCACGGCGTAAACAGGAAATCCAGGACCACAGAGAAAGGGGAAACGGGAGGGCAGAGGGGCAGAGGCGGCCACTAGACCAAAGAAGAGCCGTGTAACGGCACCGAGCATCAGCTGGCAAAGCACAGAGGGCCTGCAGCTAGGTGGGGAGAGCCTGCAGGCTGTGTTCCCATCCTCTCCCTCACTGGCAGTTTGGTGTGCTTAAGGATGCTGGGGCAACACAGAAGAAGAGTTGTCACTAGAACTTTCTCAGGGCTTTTCCCTTGAATCCTCACTTATTAAAACCAACACTATATTAAGATTGTCACTTGGATAGATGACTGTTTCCCCTAGTCAGATGCGTTGGGTTTTTCTTCTTTGGTCCCAGGTAGAACAAGCTGTGCTGTAACAGCACCGGTGCGAGCTGCAGCGTGGGTAGGAGTTGCTGTAACATCAGTGTTCCTGCTGCTGCCTGGCTGGTGCAAGGTTTGGGCTTTCCCACGGGCTGGCCCTTCTCCCAGAGCAGAGCCCGTGCTGCTGTCCCCAGGACGGGAAGGGTGCAGGGGCACGTGTGTGACGCGGTGCTGGCGGGGTCGGGGCTGAGGGGGGCAACTTTTGAGAGGCTGGGGCTGGCTCCTCGGGCACTGCAGCACGAGCTGCAGCTCTTGCTGTTTCCTCTTCCCTTCCTTTATCTCAGCAGCCCTCTGCTTCAGACAGAGGGAGGGCAAAGGAGAGTAACGGAACGGTCGATTCATGGAAAGCATATTGCTCTTTTATCACAGGCCGCTCCCCTTTCATCTTCCCAAGCCCTGTTTGCTTAGTTTCACACCTGAGAGGCAGGACAGAGCTGTTACAAACAGGACGGTTTCAGTGCCTTACCTTTGGTCATGTTCCACCACATGGGTTCCGAGAATCAAGGCAGAGATACACGGGAGGAACTGAAATCTTGGGGTGGGGTTTATGTACGTGGGCAAACAGCCAGGGAAGTGCTGGTCTGCTCTCCCCCCCGGCAGGTTCCTCCTCCTTACCACCATTCTGCTGTAGATTTCTTACTGTCTTGCTTGTTTCCTGACTTTCTGTCCTCTGGCCTCAGCTTCTTTGTCATTCCTTGTCACCAGGATCAGGCTCTCACTGCTGTCCCCAGGGTGCTGCAAGTGTGGAGGCTGTGATGGTTCTGAGCGTGCTGGGGTCATGCTGCCAGGAAGGGGGCACGTCCTTCCCTCTGGAGGACAGCATCCACTGAAGCCAAGGGTAGTCAGACAGAAACTCAGCGTTGATCTGCAACATCATTAATGTTTTCTGTGTTTCTAACCACAGAGTTTCCTGTGCTGGATGTGTTACGTTTTGGGTTAGGACTTAGCAGTCTCCATATCCTGTTTCTGAACATGCCAACAACTTTAAAGAGAGCAGTGGGAGGCTCAGATGCTCAGCTGCTTGGAAGAGCAGACAGCTTTCACTCCTCTGGCTAATGATGGGCTTGGGAGTCCAAGTTGGAGCACCTGTATTTTGACAAATTTGGTCAGTAGTAGTTCCCAGCTCAGCGAAATGACTTTTTTGCTAACAAGGAAAGACTTCATCCAAAGCCCTTAGCAAAATAATTTAACCACAGAGATTTACAGTATTTTCTGTCTGAGAGTTCTCAGCTTGGCAGAGAGCTGTTTAGGAGTTTCTGAATTAATGTGGGCTGCATTAATGAGCCTGCGCATTGAGGGACCTCTTGTAGCCAATGTTTGCCTGTATAAACAGTGTGCAAGGCTCTGGGAAAGGAAGGTGGAAAGAACTTATTTTTCTATGGCTTTAAATAAATGTGAGTCTATTTCAAACACGCAGTTATGGAAAAGTTCATCTTGCCATTGTGTAAATACAGTTACACATGTTGATTCTGCAAATAAATAATGTAATGAGAAGGGGAAAAAGCAAATGGGAAGCTGTGGTCTCTGCTCTCTTTGGTGCTTATCTTAATCCAAAGTGATTTTTGGTATTTGGGGGGATCTGTTGTGGATTTGTGTGTGTATGTGAGAGCAGAAGTTGGCCTGTTCTTCCAGTGGTGAAGGTTAACTCTGGTCAGAGTCCTGCACAGTTTGGTGAGTCCAGAGTGGCTTTTACCTTGTAGCTCTACAACTGACTGCTTTACACCTTGAGAAAGCTGCACATCTGAGCAGCAAGCGTGTCTGCAATCTATGGTTCAGATGTAGTCCATAGATAGTAGCTCAATAAAATTCCCACTGAAATGAGAAAATGTCCTCAACGAGGAGGAAAGGTGGATTTTGAGTGAGGAGTCCCCATCTCCTCACTGACTGTGCTGAGAAGAGAAGCTGTAGCTCCCCTGTCGCGTTAGACCCCTTCAGACAGCACCTTCTCCTGGAGGTGTGTGGGCTGTGAGCTGCCGTGAGTAACGTGGTGTTGTTTCCTGGCAGATGAACGTGAGGCAGTTCAGAAGAAGACTTTCACCAAGTGGGTGAACTCCCACCTGGCACGTGTGTCATGCCGAATCACAGACCTGTACACCGACCTGCGCGACGGGAGGATGCTCATCAAGCTCCTGGAGGTTCTGTCAGGAGAGAGACTTGTAAGTGCTCATCAA